AAATTAACATAACTTTAATTTCAACTTAACAGTAACTTAAATTTAACAAAATTTAAACTAATCTTAACTTAACAAGAACATCCAAGTGAAATGTAAAGAAGTTTAAAGAAGCTCCATGAACTTCCAAAAAGTTAAATAAAATTCAAGATGTTCCAAGAGATTTCAATAACTTCCAAGAGCTGAAGTATTCCTGATGTGCTCTGAAAGGATCCCTCAAGTTTCCTTGTAATATGTTCAACTTCACTTATTTATAACATGTGCTGCAATTTTACTTAACTCTAACTTTAGTGTCAACAAATTCTATGAAAATTTAAACATAGCTTTAGTTTAAGTTTAACATAACTATCTTAACTTTAACCAAACTTTAAATTAACCTCAACTTTAGCTTCAACATGTCTTACTTAACTTCAACACATACTTAGCTTAAGTTTAATTAACTTTTAACATATTTTTACTCAAACTTTTACTAAACTTTAACTTAACCTTCACTAAACTTTAACTAATGTCTAACTTTAATTTGATTTAATATTAACATAACTTGAGTTTAGCTTTAACTAAACTTTATTATGTTTTTTAAACTTCAACTCATTAATTTATCGTAGCTTTGAATTAGTGTTGACTTATCTTAAACTAAATCTTCACTTAACTTTAACTTAAATTTGTCAAAATTTGATCCTTACTTTATCTTTAACTTAGCTTAAACTTAACTTGAACTTAACTTAAACTTAACTTAAACTTAATTAAACTTAACTTAAACTTAACTTTAAATTAACTTTAACTTTACTTTTACTTTACTTTAACTTTACTTTAACTTTACTTTAACTTTACTTTAACTTTACTTTAACTTTACTTTAACTTTACTTTAACTTTACTTTAACTTTACTTTAACTTTACTTTAACTTTACTTTAACTTTACTTTAACTTAGCTTAACATTGAAATAACTTCAATATGGCTTTAACTTAACTTTAACTAAACCTGCATTTGCATAAATTTTAGCTTGATTTTATTTTTTAGTACACATTAGCTTAATTTGACCAAACTTTAGTTCATTTACATAACTTATCTTTAACATAACTTGAACAAAATTTTTACAAAAATTTAACTAAACTCATCTAATTAATTTAAAGTAACACTAACTTAACTTTTCCTTAACATTAACTTAACTTTAACATAACTTTTACTTTACTTTAATGCACCATTAACTTAAATTTAAAAACTTCAACTAAATTTTCACTAACTTTAACTAAATTTTAACTTACAATTTAACAAAAACGATTAACTTTAACTAAAAATAATTTAAATTTTTGAAATTTTTTCTTCAATTTTAACTTAACAAGAACTTCCAACAAGTATCAAGAAGTTTCAAGGAGGTCCATGAAATTCTGAGATCTTTCAAAAAGTTGCAAGAAGTGGCAAGAACTTAAATAAAACTTCCATAAAGTTCTCTGGAAATATATTTAACCTAACTTTCACTGTACTTTAAGAAAACTTAAAAATAATATTAATCAATATTTAACTTCTCTTTAACTTCACATTATTGAAAATTAACTTTAACCGTACACACCATCATATCTTTAAAATATATTAAACTTAACTTTATTTTATTAACTTAACTTAACTTTAAGTTTAACTCACCTTAAATTCAACCAAACATTATCCAAAATTTAACATCAACATAACTAGACTTAAACTAAACTTCCCAACTAACAATTTTAGGTGCAGATTACCATATCAACCATATTTAGCCTAAAATTGGTACACATAATAAATTCTACACATTCTTATCGACGAATTTATACGTAAAATTCCCACAGAATTCACACAGAGTTACACATGAAATTTATGAGTCAAATGAATAGTATGTGTGACTACACATCGCTTTTATGTGTACACACATTGGGTATGTGTCCGACACATAGATATCATTTGTTGATCACATTGCAAAAAATCATGTGTGGAACATATAAAACAATGTTTAATTTTTAATAGTGTGTCAACATCCAATTACAAGATGTTAATGGAAACTTCCAAGAAGTTCCCAAGAACTTCCAAGAAGTTCCCAAGAACTTCCAAGAAGTTCCCAAGAACTTCCAAGAAGTTCCCAAGAACTTCCAAGAAGTTCCTAAGAACTTCCAAGAAGATCCCAAGAACTTTCCAAGAACTTCCCAAATACTTCCAAGAAGATCCCTATAACTTCCAAGAAGATCCCAAGAACTTACAAGAAGATCCCAAAAACTTCCAAGAAGTTCCCAAGAACTTCCCAAATACTTTCAAGAAGATCCCAATAACTTCCAAGAAGATCCCAAGAACTTCCAAGAAGACCCCAAGGAGATCCCAATAACTTCCAAGAAGATCCCAAGAACTTCCAAGAAGTTCCCAAGAACTTCCAAGAAGTTCCCAAGAACTTCGAAGAAGATCCCAATAACTTCCAAGAATATCCCAAGGAGATCCCAATAACTTCCAAGGAGATCCCAATAACTTCCAAGGAGAACCCAATAACTTCCAAGGAGATCCCTATAACTTCCAAGAAGATCCCAAGAACTTACAAGAAGATCCCAAAAACTTCCAAGAAGTTCCCAAGAACTTCCCAAATACTTCCAAGAAGATCCCAATAACTTCCAAGAAGATCCCAAGAACTTCCAAGAAGACCCCAAGGAGATCCTAATAACTTCTAAGAAGATCCCAAGAACTTCCAATAAGATCCCAAGAACTTCCAAGAAGTTCCCAAGAACTTCGAAGAAGATCCCAATAACTTCCAAGAATATCCCAAGGAGATCCCAATAACTTCCAAGGAGATCAGAATAACTTCCAAGGAGATCCCAATAACTGCTAAGAAGATCCCAAGAACTTACAAAAAGATCCCAAGAACTTCCAAGAAGTTCCCAAGAACTTCCCAAATACTTCCAAGAAGATCCCAATAACTTCCAAGAAGATCCCAAGAACTTCCAAGAAGTTCCCAAGAACTTCCAAGTTCCGAAGAACATGCAAGAACTTCCTATCGGGTTCCTGCTTCAATTTCCCAATCGCTCTCCCTTCCTCACAAAAAGAAACTTACATACTCAGTTCATTCACATCACTATAAACAATGGATGGAACAGTAATGATGTTCGGATCTAGCTTCATTGTCCTTATTGAGATCCGAGATCTGGCTTCGGTTCCCTATTTCCAACACGTATGTATGTAGAAGTGCTGAAATCCTGCCGGGTGTCCTCTAAAACAAACATTTTGAAAAGTTATTTCACAGTGATCACTTAAAAAACACTTCATGTTCACAATAAGTATAATATTTACCTTCATTCAGCTTTCCATCGAAAGCTAATTCCTGCTCCACCTCCGTTAATCTGGAATTGTACTGGATCAGGCTGAAAAAATGTCAACAAAAATTATCAACATTGCTTATTTTTTTGCATGCAGTATATTTACCATATTTACCTATTCTAATTCCATTTGCCGGCTTGTTTCTTCCGTTAATCGTGCCGATAAGCTCCCGAGAGAACCATCCGAAGTTAATTTCGCGGCCAGATAAAAAAAAATACGTGTACTAAACACGCACGAGATAAAAAAAATGGCTTCCCACGTAATCAGCCACCGCAAAAAAACGCAAAAAAAATCACAAAAAAATGGCTATGTTCCATCCGCCATTTGGTAGCCCGGCGCATGAAATTACTCTAGCGGGGCGAGTCGCCTTTTGTCCGGATCCCGGAGCGCCATTTGGTTGCCCGGCGGATGAAATTACTCTAGCGGGGCGAGTCGCCTTTCGTCCGGATTCCGGAGCGCCATTTGGTCGCCCGGCGGATGAAATTACTCTAGTGGGGCGAGTCGCTCTTCGTCCGCATCCCGGACAAAGGGCGAACGATCAGTTTTCAAGTCGCTCAATGTCAAATGACGTCACTTTTTCGCCGGCAATTCGTGTGGGATTCTGCTATCGACCGCCGAAAGTGTGTTTTTTAAAGTACTGAGTTCTCGTCAAAACATAGCGGCCTTTTCGGACAGGACAGCTGACAAGAACGCCTAGATTACCGGGTCCTCGCCATCTGTTTTAATTACCGAAACAATCGCCAGGCAGTCAGCTGATCTAATCCCGTAAAAAAATACCGAGTTAGAAGAAAAAAAGTATAATGATTTATTGGAACACAAAAAAAAAACTAATTCTCATTTCTAAGTAATAACATAAAAACAAGGTATGGTAAATTGATCATAAGCAAGAAAAGTATTGTCTTATTTGACCTATTTTATAAAAAGGTGTACAGCCTTCATTCTCAAGTTGGGACTTGAGCCGCAACCTCATCCGATCTACCGAATGCCATTCGCTTGCAGGCATTAGCCCTACCATTTTTTAGAATGTACCTACACCAAGCACGGAAATAGAAAATACATACAAACGAAAAATGCTTTACTTTCAATTTCACTTATGCATAACATAATGGAACATTTCAATGGTATACCTGCAAGTGCTCATTATTAAATCAATCAAGCCAATAACAAAAAAAAAACTCTGGTTCCAAGGATTCTCATAAATAATGCATTATAGTTTCCTGAAATTTCTCCAACTCGTCAAGTTCTACCGACCGGCCCTGTTTCGTTTCTCTCGATCAGTTTTGCTTTCATTTCCTTAATTTCATTTAATTATAGCATTCGCGATTCGCAGATGATGCCGACCTGTGTGTTTGCGCCGCTCCGTATCTGCTGCAGCCACCTCTTCGGTATGAACACACAATGTGAAGGCAGTTCAAATGCAAACGGTCGAGGAATGCATTTTTTTTTTTATTGTTGCCCTGACTTTGAACTTGTTCTGCCTGAGCATATTTGCAATTGAGCTAGAAAACGACAAACTGTGAATGCCTTTTCGCGAACACGAGCACACGGCAGACGAGTAAGGTGCTACAGTTTCGGCTAGTTCTTTCCAGCTCATCGGTGGAGATACATGATCATTTTCAACTCCTAAATCTCTAACGATTGTTAATTCAACGTTTAAATTCGTTTTAAATGCTTTATTCATAATTTGCTCGGCTTAATAAATCATACATCAATAATAACCATAGATCAATCTACAACTATCATTAGTTAAAATGCTCACTAGGAATGGAACTCATCAATCTGGAATAATAGAAACATCCTCCTCATGCCCCTCCGGCTCGGAATCGGCAAGTTCGGAAGGTTTGATCTCCTCTGGAAACTCCACAATAACTAACGCATCTTCATCGATCTCATCCACCTCGATTGGTGCCTGTGTTTCTCCATTTTCCATACTACCAGCGACTTCTGCTTCCAGCCCAGCATTATTCGAAGGTTCCTCTTCCAGCACATTCATTTCGTGCCCGGCAACAACCTCTTGAGATGCTTCATCCGAGTCAACTTCTCGAATTTCGAACGTTGCTATTTCCGCATCATGCTCCTCCTGCTGCTGCGATTCCATCTCGGTGTTAATCAGTGGCTCCTGCGTTTCTTGGTTGGTTTGATGAATAAGGTCCAGCACGAGCGAATCAATGTCGATTGAGTTGACCTTCGACTGGGAACTGATCTGGTGGGACAAATTGCGGAATACTCCACGGAGGTTCTGAGCCTGCTGCCGCTCAGCTCCTATCGGAGGTTTAAGTTTGAACAAGCGCTTCGTAGGGCAAGGTTCCTGAGACACGTACGAAGTTGCGCGGATTCGAATCTGTTGACTAAGAGGGAAGTCCTCGCAACTTTGGCGGATGGATACAAAAAGGCGATTCGATTCGATTCCGGTGACGGTAGGGCGAAGTTTTTCCGGAACCTGGGCCAGGGCACGTGACGGGGACAGACGGCGCTTGGCAACGAGGATGTTCCTTTCTACAGGCGGGTTGGATCGGGCTCTAACGAGACGGGCTGATTTGCTTGAACTCGAGGATAGAGAGCGTTTACGTTTGCTACTGTTCCGCGAATCCTGATGGATGGATCTCGAACGGCTTCGATGTTGGCTGGCGAAAGGCTGAGCAACTGGCAGATGTTCGGCATTTGCAGCTGGTTGATAGATGGCGACAGCAGGTTGAGTGATTGGTGGACAATAAATTCTCGACGGATCCGGAGTTTTCGAACGATACGCAGTTGGCTGGATACTGGTGGGAGTTTTCGAACGATACGCAGTTGGCTGGATACTGGTGGGAGTTTTCGAACGATAAGCAAACGGTTCGATCATGGTGGGAGTTTTCGATCGGCTGCGGAAAACGGCAGTTTTCGGAACATATTTCTTAGGGATTGCCTCTACGTCAATTTGCTCCTTTGGTGTTCGATGAAAGGTTAAAAGATGGTGAGTAATTCTGTTCCGTTTATAGTTGGAATAGTCACAATCTGGACAAAAGAATCTTTGTCTGAAGTCGTCGGTGTTTTGCGGATCTATGTTTTTAAAGGCCAGGGCCGACAGCGGTTCATCATCTGATGGATGCTCGGAAGCAGCCCTGGATGGAGGTCGTGATGGAGGACGAGATCCAGCCCTTGAAGCTGCACGCGAACGTGACAATACTAACGACGGATCACTCGGATCTATCTTATGCACTCGGATCTTGTGCCGTTTCACATTGGTCCTAGAAGCAAACGACACCCCGCAAATGTTGCACAAATAGTCACAGTCATGTGTTTTCAAATCTTGGGAAGAATCAAATTTGTCACCACACCGGCTGCAAACCAGATCCTTTGGCTGTTGACCATCGCTATTTGAATCTTCTTCGATGTCGGTGGGCGAATCGCTCTCATAACGGTATCTTTTCTTGGGCTTCGAAGTCACGACGAGCAACTCTTCCGGGTTATCTCCCACTGGACTCCAATAATCTTCCCACTGACTGGCCTTTATCTTATGTACCGCCATTAGATGGCGCTTCAAGCTGTGCCGGTACTTAAGCGTCGCACTGCAAACACTACAAATAAACTCGCAGCTATGACGCTCTAGTTGATCAATCTCTCGGAACACCTTCTCACACTTAGGACACTTGAGGTCGTCATCGGTTGTACTAGTTGCCGTTTCCGAGGCATCCTCTTCCTCCTCATCATCGTCCGAAGCATGCTCCGTCGGTGTCGATGATTCTTGACCGCTACCGTCCGAGTGAGGTAGCCATTCGCTTTTGATACTCCTCCTGGTCTTAACAGATTCCTTCTTGATTCGCGGACTCTTCTTGGGGATAAAATCTTCATCTTTCTCTCCGCGTTCCTCCTCTTCGTCATCTGTTCTGGCGAAAGATTTCCGAGCAGTAGATCTTTTCGATCTAACCGACTTGGATGAAGGTTCCGGCGAAGCCAACGTTGCCGGTCCAAGTTGATTGATCAGCTCGTCGTTGAAAATTTGCTGATTTTCGGCAATCAGCTTCTTTTGTTCCTCGTAGAATTTAAGCCATTTTTGCATTTCATTTGCCTCCTTGAAGCATTCGACGCAGATCTTTTTGGTGCACTGATCAGTCTTTTCAACCTAGGGGCAAACGAAATTAGATGACATTTTATTTCCACTGCGCTAGGAGCATTTTCACCCACCTTCACATTGTACAACTGCTGCAGGGTTTCGGCCAAGCGGTCGTCGGAGCAGACTTCTATCTGTTCTTTGGTGTCGTCCAGGCAGAGGCGGCAACATTTTTGGTACAGTTTAGTGTGCATTTTCAAGCAAAATGTTGCTAAAAGTGGCGAAATTTAAGAATAACTCGTAAAAAGCCGGTATTTTGCGCTGCCGCGGATGCGTTGTTTACAAATACAAGCCGATTTTCGACGCTTAACGATTTCGTTGTCAATCTTGACCCGCTGCAAAAAATATAGAGATTGCTGACGTTTAATGTACGCACACTACGTCACGTATACGTATACGCAAATTGTTTTCATCGGGAAAAAATACTTCATAGCGGAAAATTTTCCCGATGAAAACAAATCACTGACACAATCATACTGTAGCAATCTCTATTACCAGCAAAACGACAAATTACACTTCAAAGCAGTTAAGGTACACAAATGTGTTAAGAAAATAGGAAAATAAATCGAATTTGAATGTATCAGTTAATTCAGTGTCAACATTTAAATTGGGCGAATCTGCTTTTGTAATAAATAACAACAACAGTAACTGATCTCCACAATAATACTTGATCATCCTGAAGTATTGAAAAAACATCCTGATAAGATTTTGGAGACCTGTACACAGAAAAAAAAAAGTTGTTGAATATTACATCCAAACTGCTGCAACCAGGTCAATCCATCGGTTGTGTCGAGGGTTGTGTAATACAACGTTGTACGATGCGAACAAAATTACATCCATTGATGTAATATTGTATCTGCTTTTTGCTATTACATCATTATTTCATACATCAGCTTGAATTACATTGATCGATATTACATTTTTTTTTTTGCTGTGTAACTGCAAGCACCTGAAGGTTTTTGCAATATTGTCAGAGACACCTGATATCACGAGATAATATCTAAGAGATGTTATTTGAATACGCCTTTTTAATAGAAACTAAGCGATCGATTCAACCTCTGGTGTAGAAATACTCAGAGGGAGAGTGGAGAAAACAAAATACAATTCAGCAGCAGGGATTTGTTCCTAAATTATCTTGCAACCCTTGCTAGAAGCTACACGGCGAATGAGAACGACCCAAATTTGAGTTTAGTTCACTCATAATCGCCAAAAGTGCAGGAACTCAGCGATGAGTAAAATTTGTCTCATGGTTTCCTGTGGAAAACCTAAAAAATCTGCCGGAAAATGAGGAAATTGACGAAAATTATATTCAGTCTTCTTTTGGTGATTATGAGTGAACTAAACTCAAATTTGGGTTGTTCTCATTCGTCACGCAGAAAAATTTATCGTTGAAACAAAAATATTTGAGGTAAATTTAAACGTAAACTCAGTTTGTTCTGGCCACAAAAATAAACAAGGTTTATTTCAAACGTATTCCATGTTTGAAGTCATGTAATATTAATGTTAAAATAAAAATAATGTTTCGTTTATTTTAAAAATATTCGTGTTGAAAATAAACGTGAATATTTTTGTTTGGTTCGACAACAATTATGCGAACAAAAATAAATATGTTTATTTTAAACATGCTTCTTATGTTTGAAAGAAACATACTTAATTTTAAATTATATTAGCATTTGATTGTAAGATAAAGCAGAAAAATGGATTGCCAAGAGATGAAAAACGATCTGCAGGAAGATGCCGAATTCAGTTTGATTGCAATGCCCGTTGCAATGTAGGATTGGAAATGCAGGAATCGGAAGAAGATGAGGATGATGAGAAACCGTTGAGTTCGGTAAGGAAGGAGGATGAATGCAGCACAGATTTTAGTTGATCCAACAAATTAATTAGTCGAGTCAGGATTGTGTGAATATGATAAAGCTTGCTGAAGTTTCGAAGCGAATGGAAAATGAGCGGATGAAGTTGGAGCAAGAAAGGAAAGAGCAAGAGCACAAGGCAGGTGTAAATGAGGAGCATGTTTCGGATCTGCTTGTGGCAGGAGAGAAGATCAAAGACAAAAGCTCGAAGCAAACAGGAAGAAATTACTTTTTCAGGTGGGGGGAGGGGCTGGAGGATCCGGAATAGATTCAAAATCCATTCCGGATTTTCGTTTCCCTTTATTAAGATACTTACCTAGGTGGGTTTCCGCATCCATGACTTCGATTTTGTTGCGGGCCGTTTTCAGTTGATTGGCAAAGCTGGTGCAATTTTTTCCGAATGTAAACAAGAAGGAAAATATGCAGGGCACGCTAAAAATCGTTTCCCCAAATTCTATATTGTTGAAATAAACATGCTTCTGACTTTAATTCAAATATATATATTTTTGTTGCAAACATGGTTTTAATTTATTTTGAATTATTCATATGTTTATAGAATGAACATTTTTATTTTTGATTTAAATGAGCAAAATTCGGTTCCGTGGTCGTGTAGCATTTCAAATGACTTTTATTTTTGATTCGATTCACGTGCAAAATAATAAATGATTACATTGCAATATTTTGCACATTTCTTGGTGCCATTTATTAACCAACGAAGATCAATTAATCAATAGAGTTAGAATATTGTTGTTGGTTCCAAAAACTAGTTGAATTTGAGAAGCACACGAAACATAAAGGTGATTGAATTTCTGTTCGATTGCAATACTCTATAATTTATTCTATTAAGAATAAGAAATCCTCGGAAAAATTCTAATTGGAATGTTCGATTGGCTCAGATTTTGACAGTTCATTTGGCTCATAACATTCTCTCCGCCCACACGCTCGTACAATGTTACTCAAAAGTGAGTAACTTCTACTCAGTTTGGTATTTTTGTGCAAAATGTCAAAAAGCGAGTAACATTGATTTAGCAAAGTGAGTACCTACTACTCTGTTTGCCTAAAATCAATGTTTACTCACTTTTGAGAAATGCTGTATAAATGTTACTCACCATGCGTCTGTCAAATACGTGGTGACAAAAGTGATCAATTAAAAATTTTCAAAGCTTGAAGAAAGAAATTGATAAAAAAAAAGAATGGAGCAAGTAGCTGCAGTGGTGGATTCGGATTCGTTCCGCAAATTGATATCAACGTACTATTAGGCTACAAATGAAAACTTATGACCTTCTTTAATTGTAATTACAGAATACATCAGAGGTTTCCTACGGATGCTCCATAAAATGCCGGTACGTGGACAACGTAGAAAGGTGGATGGGGCATTAGCGATCTCCGAAGAGCAGTTGGCGTCACCATTCATTCAGTGGATAAAAGTAAACAAACAAATAGTTCATATTCCGTCACAATATAACAAATAAACATTGATTTTAGCCCATAAACAAAGCCAACGCTGATCTTATCGAGCATATGTCGTCACTTATCCAGGATCAACCGCACATTGCATGCATTTCAGAACCATATTAAATTGGACCGCTATTTGTGGTTGTAAATCGACACGTTTTTATTGAAGTCCCGAACGCTATTCACGCAATCGATATTTTTTTCAAGGTGTTCAAAGTTTTTGGACTCCGTGTGCCCACTCAGCTTGCCATGATAATGGATTTTTTGGAATGCGTCCTGTATACAACTTTGAGTCATAGCTCAAGATCGTCGGTTAACTGCCTTGTCGCAGCATTCAAAGAAGCTGCACATGCTGAAGATGTTGATAACATTTAATTTTTATATGTAGATTTATCTTGTAACCGTTTATTAAAATTGTTTGTTTTATTTTTTTATATTTTTCTCAACCACCAACTCCAACCACCAACTCTCACCAAATCTTACTCAAATTGAAAATTGGCCAATTTTACGAAAAGTGAGTAACATTTACTTAGTTGGGCTTATTTGGTGCAATCAAAATCTGAGTAAAAGTTACTCTGATTTTGACAAATGCTAGTATTACTCAAAAGTGAGTAACCATAGGTTTACTCACTTTAGAGTAGTTCCACTTTTACCGAAAAAGAGTAGTTTTTTACTCACTTTTGAGTAACATTGTACGAGCGTGCATCTCTCCCTCTGAGTATTTCTCGCGTCCCTTTTCAAATAGACCACACTGCAACTGCCATGTACCCATTAATGGGTAAAAAAGGACCCATTTTTGATGACTATATGAGGCTGTCAAATAATGGGTGAAGTTCAATTTCAAATAATGGGTACTCTTTTACCCATTTCTCAGAGCGCTTCGGGCGAGAATAATGAGTACTTTTTTACTCATTAATGGGTGAAAAGCAACTTAGATAACATCTTCCAGTCCTCGCTTCAGTCGCAAAGTGTCTTAACGATGTCGAATGGAAATTGCTCGTTTGAAAAGTAGGTATTTCTTATTTTTTTTTTTTTCTGCCCACATCTAAACATCAATCTGAAACTTGCAGGGACAGAACTAGCCGGATCAGCAAGGAGATCCCAGGAGAGCTTTGGGAGCACCATTTCTTGCACGAACGATGGAAAGACCACTGGATGGAAAATGGTGAAATAAAGATATAAATATAAATAACGTTTTGTATTCTTAACTATTCATTGTGGCTCTTTCAATGATCCATAAATCATACAAATTCTAAAAGAAAAATCCTGGTTTAAGGATTTCAAAAATTGGGTACTTTGTACCCATTTTATAAAGCCAATTATTATTTAAAAATGGGTAAAAAAGTACCCCATGATTTGACGTACAAGGTCTTTACCCATTAATGGGTAAAGACGTTTTACCCATTAAATGAGTTTACCTACTTTACTTCGAAATGGGCACTTTTTCACCCATTAATGGGTACTTTCCAGTTACAGTGCAAATGTAACATATCCACCATTGTGAGAAATCGAAGTTGAAGTTTGACCGATTATTATTTTAACTGTTAAGAAACAATACATTTTGCAATACTATTTTTAATAGTACGTTCAGACTACAGAGTTATAACATGTTATAGCGCTATCTTGATGGTGAAATAAAGATATAAATATAAATAACGTTTTGTATTCTTAACTATTCATTGTGGCTCTTTCAATGATCCATAAATCATACAAATTCTAAAAGAAAAATCCTGGTTTAAGGATTTCAAAATTGGGTACTTTGTACCCATTTTATAAAGCCAATTATTATTTAAAAATGGGTAAAAAAGTACCCCATGATTTGACGTACAAGGTCTTTACCCATTAATAGGTAAAGACGTTTTACCCATTAAATGAGTTTACCTACTTTACTTCGAAATGGGCACTTTTTCACCCATTAATGGGTACTTTCCAGTTACAGTGCAATGTAACATATCCACCATTGTGAGAAATCGAAGTTGAAGTTTGACCGATTATTATTTTAACTGTTAAGAAACAATACATTTTGCAATACTATTTTTAATAGTACGTTCAGACTACAGAGTTATAACATGTTATAGCGCTATCTTGATGGTGGTTTCTGTGTTGCAATTATTTGACAACCGTTATAACATGTTATAACTCTCCAGTCTGGACAGCGTTTAATGTAGTCAGTAAATAATAACGTTGAAAATTCATTAGAAACGGTAAAATAACAATTTTACTTTGAATTTCATGCTACAATATAGCAAAAAAACACATAGGACGTTTTGACTAGTCAAGTTGTACATCGGACATGTTACATTGGACGATTTTTCTCAATGACATAATCAATGAGTGTTATAGTACGTTCAGACTACAGAGTTATAACATGTTATAACTCTGTAGTCTGAACGTACTATTACATTGGACGTTTTGTCTACATGATACTAGATTCCCTTTCACAGATTTCAGAGTAGAATATCTAACTTTAGGTTGGCCCCACCTTTAGAAAATGAGCACCAATCATGTTAGGCAATCCGAATGAACGAAGTAACAATCATGTACCAATCATTTCAAACTGTACATTGGACAATTTTTGACCTATGATTATCTTAAATAAATGAAAGTAAATTTGGATGGATGTTTTTGTATCACATACCATCATAGAAGAGCAATAGTTTGTATCGCTTAACTCGCTTTGTTTACATTTGTTACATTGGTCTATTTGAAAAGTGACGCGAGATTTGTGCGTTTCATAAAAATAATAGAAATTAGTTGGTCCAGTTTTGTGGAATCGCTATGGTAGAAAGTCACGCCAAAACTGCTTGACAAAGTGGTCAATTATTTATCATTTTTGCAAGGATTCTGCTAGTGTTCTGGAATATTTTGTGCCTTAGTGGTTATGATCTTCCGGATTTCTTGTGTGTGAATAGTTTTGGTGCAAATCAGTTCAGATGGAAATTGGCAAGATGTTCAATGAAAAATGCTTTAATTTGCGTTGTGAAAAATCCTCCTTCTGATGTAAACAAACGGTTTGGTTGACGTTTCCTCTCAAACTCGCGTGGTGCCCTCTACGTAGGTGGTGCATTAAAAAGGCCTATTGTTGGACATATCATTAGAGGTAACCCTAAGTAACTCTAAGACTAGAAGGTTCTGAAATAACGTGCTCAACTTTTTGGCTCAGCTCTGGTACTCTCTTCGGTCCCAAGCTAATCGATTCACCCCTCGAAACATAGGAAAAACCAATAACCCCTCATTTTACCTGTCAAACTTTCATAGCGAATCAAAACAAACATTGCGTAGTACTAGAATTTCGACTAGAATGGGGTACGTTAATCGTTTGCTTGGGACCAACAGGCTAGTCAAGTAGTGAGCCAATTTAAAATCGTTAGTTTCGTATTGATTGTTGGTTGAATATCTTCAGAATAAAACTTGCTTTGCAATATTTTCTGAGACAGCTGGTATCCTGAGAAAATCTCTGATAGATGTTATTTGAATGTTGGACAGTTGAATGGACAGATCTTCAGATTTATCTGTCAAACTTTCATAGTGAATCAAAACAAACATAGTGTAGTACTAGAATTTCAATTAGAATGGGATACGCTTAGAGATGTACTTGGGACCAATTAGGCTATCCACGAGACAGTTGCGATCAGCTAACTTTTTTGTTTACCAAGAACTTTTGACAGATCACAGTAGAACTGACAGTTTACTCTCATATGAATTTCTGCTTTGTTTATGTTTATATTCAGCACCATTAACAAAGACGAGGCTCGGTAGCTCAGTGGTTACCGTTTCTGCTTACTGAGCAGAAGGTCGGGAGTTCAATCCCAGGCCCGTCCCCTTCCTTGCAATTTTTCACTTTGCCTTATTCTATACCCACTAGATTTTAATGAAAATAAGTTCTTCTTTAACACCAATCGCATCACTTACCACAGTGTGGGTTCTGATCTAAAAATAGAAATTGGATGAGTGCGCGCGCGTGTGTGTGTGTGTGTGTGTGTGTGTGTGTTTGTGTATTATAATCGCTCTACCAAAAAACGATCCCTGCGTGTGCGTGCAACCTTTCCCCACATCCAACATCCCAGTGATTTCTCGTGGAAGCGCAGAGGATTTCTCGGTTTCCTTCACAGCGAGTACCACGTCAACACATTCCTTCCCATTCCCTAGTTGATCTGCATTCGGACACGGCCGGCGCTGGTATTGCTAAATATTAGATCTCCAGTTCTTATACACATTGAGGATGAATGTTAGTCCCAAACATCATCTGTTGGTTCTCTGTGTAATTGCAGCTGATCTGGTAATAACAGAGCAGCAACCGTGGGCGGTCAATCTGATTTTTGATTTTTTTTATATTCAGCACCATTAACACCAGATCACTCACACACTCTTGATTTCTAGCTGTCACTTCCACTGAGAAACGTCTCTTGGATCACCTTATTAGGTACTGCAGCGTGACGTCACAAATGAACTCAGTGTTAATCGGCTGAACCTTTTTGACAGTTCAGTGGTACTGTTTACAAGCACTTAGTCGTTTTTTCAAAAAATAAAAATTCTAAAATTTCCGAATTTTAACTTGAAAATTGTCGAGGAACAGCGCATTGCAAGGATGTTGCTCGTGAACATTGCAGAAATGTGGTTTACATCTCACTGCAGTCTGAAAAATTATCGAGAAAATCCACCCAAGAAAAAATCGGCTAAGTCCACGTAAACAGTACCACTAAACTGTCATCAGATTGAGGTTAACCCCGACAGTGCAAAACCTAATAGGCTAGTCAAGTAGTGACCCAATTTAAAATCGTTAGTTTCCACCATGGTGTATATAACATGGTGATACCAACAATCAATACGAAACTAACGATTTTAAATTGGCTCACTACTTGACTAGCCTATTGGCACTATGTTTGTTTTGATTCGCTATGAAAGTTTGACAGATAAAATGAGGGGTTAGTGAGGCTGTGAACCATTTGCCGAGTTAAATTTAACTCGTAGTTAAAAGTGACATTTCGAAAGTTATTTTACAGACAAACAGACATAACTCTCGCAAGTTATTAATCGAACAAGCATTTAACGGATAATTTAAAAGTATCGTAGTTGGTAGTACCACCACCTGTGGCGCGCATAGTCAATTCCCTTGCGTTTGACGTTTACACACTACCGCCATCTGTTCAGTGTAGTGCCCACCACAGTGTACTCAACAGATGGCGGTAATGTTTTAGCGACGATGTTGTCCAGTGAGAAATATTCAATGTGTTATGTCTGTTTGTCTGTGGTTATTTCTTATGTTCGAAAATCCCCGTGCTGTCGATCGACCGGTTTTCGAGCCACGGTCGTCAAAATTTAACTTCTTGTCTGTCAGAAATAACCACGCTCGGATAGCAGGGTTAATCGATAACTTTCCATCTGTCAAATTTTAACCAAAAGTTAAAATAATCCACCAAATGGTTCAGAGCCTGAGTTTTCCTATGTTTCGAGGGGTGAATCGATTAGCTTGGGACCGAAGAGAGTACCAGAGCTGAGCCAAAAAGTTGAGCTCGTTTCTTCGGGATCTTCTGATCTTAGAGTTACCTCTATGGTGATACCTCTCTTGTAACTCTGTAACTCGTGTAACTCTAAGACCAGAAGGTCCCGAAGAAACGGGCTCAACTTTTTGGCTCAGCTCTGGTACTCTCTTTGGTCCCAAGTTAATCGATGCACCCCTCGAAACACAAGAAAATCCACCAACCCCTAATTTCATCTGTCAAACTTTCATAGCGAATTCTCAACAAACATAGTGTAGTACTGGATTTTGCACTAGAATGGGGAACGTTAATCGATTTGCTTGGGACCAATAGGCTAGTCAATTAGTCTTAGAGTTACCTCTATGGCTTAACTTCCCTTCCGAAGGAAGACGGGACCAGAGATTTGTATGCCTCAGGAAAATCCCACCGACCTCAGCTGGGATTGAACCTAGACCCATTGAGGTGAGAAAGCAGTCACGTTTACCACTACACCACCGGCGCCGGCTATACTGAAAACTCCGTAAATCACTTGTATTGCTGGAAACCAGTAAAATAAACTGTCAAATGGACTTGTATATTTTATCCCCCTTATTCTGCGAGTCACGTGACTCTCTCTCACCGGTGAGGTGACAATTGTCACCTCACCGGTGAGAGAGAGTCACGTGACTCGCAGAATAGGGGGGTATTACTTTCAAGTTCACTAAACAAAACAGATAAAATATAAGGATCACCACTCACCAGTGCAAAATGCCCGGTTCTTTTTTGATAAAAATTTGCTGGTTTTTCAGCAATCTCCTGTCAGCTCGGCAAAATCCAGCTAAATTTTGCTGATTTCCAGCAGAATAAAAATGTTGAATATTGTTTGTTGGCCTTAACTCCGATGCACCGGGTCTGCTTGCCTCGACTGAAATCCTCAGTCGCAAATTTTAGTTTACAATCTTACAATCATTACTTTTCCAATACAAACCTTGTTCATCATTGTGAATGGCTCCCTCAAATCGTAACCAACTTGAATTTTGTTTTGCAGTCAGCACAGTATGGACGGACGGAAGGTAGGATTTAGGAACATTCCTTAACCCCCATTGGTAAACCTGACCGACGACATGTGCCAAATCCAACAGTTCGACAATGTTCATACAAAACGGAAGGGAATTTCGGCATCCAGTGAACAACACAAGCGATTTTCTCCACGTTCCATTCTTCATTCGGTTATCTTGGTTCAAAACAATCTGCTTGAATTCATTACTTAATATGTATAGGGGGTTCTGTTTCACAATTAGTCTTCCGTCGTTAGACACTAAAGTAAGACAGCTGATTTTTCCATATGTTGCAATTTTGTGTTATCCTCTTTCAGTTAATTAGAATAGTTTCAGACCATATCTTAACTTCTGGCCATAAGTGCAGCTATAACTCTGTCCCCGGCTCACATTCATTAAACTCCATCCCTAGCAACAGAGTTGAACAATTTGAATAATAAGATCCACAGTTTTTTTTTTTTATATTGTTTAGCTTTTTCAGTTAGACTTTCTAAATTTTTCATTTATATATCTTTATCTTGGTTTAATTCGCAAATCACTTTTTAGTAGCACGTGATCGGTACCTACCAGCAAGGTTTGCGATATGTTATTCGCTCGCTGCCTGTCAATACACAGCGTAACATTGAACAGCTCTTTGACATAAGTGCAGTACTGGTTCAGAGTGACTGAAAGATTAATTTGTCCGATTATTCGGCTTCAAATGGGGTTGAGCGACAAACTATAAGCTAGGATTGGATGTAACTATTTTCGAAAAAGAGTTGTTTTCCTTTTGAGGAAGAACATCGAAAACCACAAGAAACGATTTTACTCGATAGTACGAACAAAACAAGTTTTTTTTTATTATTATTGATGAACTAGGAGAAAGATGAAATTATATTTCTGATATTTTGATTTTTAAGCATTACAATGAAGAGAAATTAACCTTACTGTGTCAGTGGCTTTACGTTTATAATTATGTTTCTTCAGTGTTGCAATGTTGGTTGTAACTTACTGCTATTGATTTAAAGTGAAAAAAAAATACAAGCTTTGCATTTACACAAATCCACCTCATTCGCATTTCTCACGTGTTCATCGTCTGTTCCATTATTGTGATAATCATTAAATAAAAAAAATAAGTTCAGGATGTGCAATGTAATAACGTAAACGCGGAGCGAAAGGAAACTAACATTAACTACATTATTCAACATCCATCTTGTCCTCGGTAAAGTTCTTCGGCTGTTCCGTGGATGGTTCCTGCTGATCCTTAGCCTGATCACCACCGTTTTGCTGTGACTGTTGTTCCTTGTTGTTGTCCGCTGGCGGAGTGGCTGGCTTTGGTTTCGGCCGGTTGAGCACCGAATTCGTGCAGGTGGCCAGGGTCTGGTTTTCGTGGCGGATATCGGCGACCTTTACCGGAGGTTCTTGCGTTTTGCGAATGTTCACCAGCTTGGATCGGGCCTCTTCGTACCACTTCTGCGCCTTTTGAGCAGCCTCGGTGATATTCAGGATCTCCGTCTCCGTCAGATGATCATACTTCGGGTCCTTGGCGCGGAACTGCTCGACAGCCTTGTACGTCAGTTGAATGGTGTGACCCAGATCGGTAAATGCCTGCTCGTGACCGTTGTACTCCTCGCACCGAAGACGGATTGGATCCGTCTGCTGGTAAAGTGCGATGAGTTTATCCTTGTAGACTGCCCGTTCGCAGTTTTCGCCATCCTCGTACAGCCAGTTCTCGATGTCCTCCAGCTGGCGACAGATCTTGGCAGCATCGTCCTGTTCGACGTAGGCGCTCAGTTCGCCATCCTCCTGGATCTTGCCACGGATTTCGTAGACGTATTCTTCCAGCGCGTTGCGGGCGTCGATGCGCTCCTTTTCCTGCCGATCGTTGGCGATCATTTTGATCTGGAAGTGACGAGACGGGGCTTAGTCCATGAACGAGGGAAAATCAGAGAGAAGAGAGAACTTACCTCCAACTCGTGGTACTTGGATAACTCGGTGCTGACGAAGCCGTGGGTTTTGCCTTCGATGGTTAGATCAATGGATTTCGTACTAACCTTCTTCTTCTTATCCTGCGGAAGAGATTCGAAACGGATCGATTAGATTGGGCGAAATTTACGGCGGAGAGCATTGTTGCAGTGGAACGCGTTGCAAGAGCTGAAGCATGGGTGATAAATAGATATGTCAGTAGAAAGTAATAGTAGGCCTATAGATCTCGGTATAGATATAAAACAGTACAGAAGTTTTAAGAGAATTTCAAACAAACTATTAGTATCTTCATAGAAATCCCTGAACGCTTAAGTGTGAGAGTGGTAAAACGAGTCACTCTATGTTGCATTCGGAAATCTCTATGGATCAATGCACAGAACCAATCTAAATTTCCCCACATCCAACGGACATAGGCAATAATTCAACCGCGTTTGTTTTGGCTCCCATTTGTTGCTCTGATGAAGAAGGTGGAATAACAAGGGGAAAATTGTCATCTCTTCTTTCCAATTCAATCTCTCTATATTATTAGTTTATTGCACGTAGGACCTCTTCTACATCCTCCAGCACAACTACATCATTTTACGCTACAATCCTATTAATTGAATCCCCGTCCCAGTACGTAGTTCGAAAAGCGTGATCAGGAGTCACCAACACCATGGTGACTGGCAAATGGAGACAACCGATTTCCCGGTTTATTTCTCGGAATTTTGGCTACATTACCCAGAATGTCACTTCCTCGAGCCATATTAAGCATGATATTTTGCCTTCTTTTGTTTGCTGCTTGTTCTTTTAACATTCAGGGTAATGTGGCACAATCTACTGCACTCCGGTGCAGTAACAAATTCAAGATCTAGGATAAATGCTGCTGCCGTAGTTATGACCCATATAAATGTCTTTATTACCCTGATAGTTCACTCAGAACATCATACATGATTTCTTTGGACTATTCAAGAATTTCTTTAGAATCATTCTGTTCAGAATATCTCTTAGAATTTTCATCAGAACTCTCTGAGAATTATCACCAGAACTCTCTTAGAATTCTGACCAGAACTCTCTTAAAATTCTCACCGGAACTTTCTTAGAACCCTCTTAGAATTCGCACCAGAACTCTATTAGAATTGTGACCAGAACTTTCTTAGAATTTTGACCAGAACTCATTTAGAATTTTCCCTAGAACTCTCTTTTAGATCTCACCAGAACTCTCTTAGAACTCTCTCAAAATTCTCTTAGAATTCTCACCAGAACTCTCTTAGAATTCTCACCAGAACTCTCTTAGAATTCGCACAAGAACGCTCGCAGAATTCTCACCAGAACTCTCTTAGAATTCTCATCAGAACATTAGAATTCTCATCAGAACATTAGAATTCTCACCAGAACTATCTTAAAATTCTCACCAGAACTCTCTTAGAATTCTCACCAGAACTCTCTTAGAATCCGCACAAGAACGCTCTCAGAATTCTCACCAGAACTCTCTTAGAATTCTCATCAAAACATTAGAATTATCACCAGAACTATCTTAAAATTCTCTCCAAAACTCTCTATCTCTCAAATTATCACCAAAATTCTCACCAGAACTCTCTTAGAATTATGACCAGAACTCTCTTAGAATTCTCTCAAGAACTCTCTTATAATTCTCACCAGAACTCTCACCAGAACTCTCTAAGAATTCTCATCAGAACTCTCTTAGAATTCTCCCTAGAACTCTCTTAAAATTCTCACCAGAACTCTCTTAGAAGTCTCACCAGAACTTCCTTAAAATTCTGACCAGAACTCTCTTAGCATGCTCATTAGAACTTTCTTAGCATTCTCACCAGAACTCTCTTAGAATTCTCACCAGAACTCTCTTAGCATGCTCATTAGAACTCTCTTAGAATTCTCACCAGAACTCTCTTAGCATGCTCATTAGAACTTTCTTAGCATTCTCACCAGAACTCTCTAAGAATTCTCTCTAGAACTCACTTAGCATGCTCATCAGAACTCTCTTAGAATTCTCACCAGAACTTTCTTAAAATTCTTACCAGAGCTCTCTTAGAATTCTCACCAGAACTCTCTTAAAATTCTCACCAAAACTCTCTTAGAATTCTCACCAGAACTCTCTTAGAATTCTCACCAGAACGCTCGCAGAATTCTCACCAGAACTCTCTTAGAATTCTCATCAAAACATTGGAATTATCACCAGAACTCTCTCAGAATTCTCACCAAAACTCTCTCTCTCTCGAATTATCACCAAAACTCTCTTAAAATTCTCACCAGAACTCTCTTAAATTCTCTCAAGAACTCTCTTATAATTCTCACCACAACTCTCTTATAATTCTCACCAGAACTCTCTTAGAATTCTCACCAGAACTCTCTAAGAATTCTCACAAGAATTCTCTTAAAATTCTCACCAGAACTCTCTTAGAATTCTGACCAGTACTCTCTTAGCATGCTCATTAGAACCATCTTAAAATTCTCACCAGAACTCTCTTAGAATTCTGACCAGAACTCTCTTAGAATTCTCTCAAGAACTCTCTTATAATTCTCACCAGAACTCTCTTAGAAGTCTCACCAGAACTCTCTAAGAATTCTCATCAGAACTCTCTTAAAATTCTCACCAGAACTCTCTTAGAATTCTGACCAGAACTCTCTTAGAATTCTCCCTAGAACTCTCTTAAAATTCTCACCAGAACTCTCTTAGAAGTCTCACCAGAACTCTCTAAGAATTCTCACAAGAATTCTCTTAAAATTCTCACCAGAACTCTCTTAGAATTCTGACCAGTACTCTCTTAGCATGCTCATTAGAACCATCTTAAAATTCTCACCAGAACTCTCTTAAAATTCTGACCAGAACTCTCTTAGAATTCTCATCAAAACATTGGAATTATCACCAGAACTCTCTCAGAATTCTCACCAAAACTCTCTCTCTCGAATTATCACCAAAACTCTCTTAAAATTCTCACCAGAACTCTCTTAAATTCTCTCAAGAACTCTCTTATAATTCTCACCACAACTCTCTTAGAATTCTCACCAGAACTCTCTTAGAATTCTCACCAAAACTCTCTTAGAATTCTGACCAGAACTCTATTATAATTCTCACCACAACTCTCTTGGAATCCTCTTAGAATTCTCACCAGAACTCTCTTAGAATTCTCACCAGAACTCTCTTAGAATTCTGACCAGAACTCTCTTACAATTCTCACCAGAACTCTCTTATAATTCTCACCAGAACTTTCTTAGAACCCTCTTAGAATTCTCATCAGAAGTCTCTTAAAATTCTCACCAGAACTCACTTAGAATTCTGACCAGAACTCTCTTAGCATGCTCATTAGAACTTTCTTAGCATTCTCACCAGAACTCTCTTAAAATTCTCACCAGAACTCTCACCAGAAGTCTCTTAAAATTCTCACCAGAACTCACTTAGAATTTTGACCAGAACTCTCTTAGCATGCTCATCAGAACTCTCTTAAAATTCTCACCAGAACTCCTTTAGAATTCTGACCAGAACTCTCTTAGCATGCTCATTAGAGCCATCTTAGAATTCTCACCAGAACTCTCTTAAAATTCTCACCAGAACTCTCTTAGAATTCTGACCAGAACTATCTTAGCATGCTCATTAGAACTTTCTTAGCATTCTCACCAGAATTTTTTTAGCATGCTCATTAGAACTCTCTTAGAATTCTCACCAGAACTCTCTAAGAATTCTCCCTAGAACTCACTTAGCTTGCTCATCAGAACTCTCTTAGAATTCTCACCAGAACTCTCTTAGAATTCTCATCATAACATTAGAATTCTCACCAGAACACTCCTAGAATTCTCTTAGAATTCTCACCAGAATTTTCACCAGAACTCTCTTAGAATTCTCACCAGAACTTTCTCTCTCTCTCTCCCTCTGTAATTCTCACCAAAACTCTCTCAAAATTCTTACCAGAACTCTATTAGAATTATGACCAGAACTCTCGTATAATTCTCACCAGAACTCTCTTATAATTCTCACCAGAACTCTCTTAGCATTTTCACCAGAACTTTCTTAGAATTATCAATAGAACTCTCTTAGAAGTCTCACCAAAACTGAGTTTTATTTTTCCGGGGGTAGGATGATGTATATTTTACTCTATTTGTCACCTGAATTCTGTATTCAAGGGGTTACGTAATACCACAGACAAGCAGACGTAAGTCTTTGTATAAAATTATCTTCAAAACATAATACCGCCAAACATAGGACTTCAGTAACGACATCTCGCGGAGAACAAGCTTGCTCGCTGATGTTGCATGCAAGAAAGACCGAATATATAGAAACGTCAAATTGATCCGATGCCAGCGCTGCGGCGAGTAGTTCGCGGAAACGATAACATTCCAACAAATCGTTAACTGCGCAAACGATGATCCAGAATGAAGAGATACGGCTGTATGTCTGTGTGTCACCTTCAACAGCAGTAGCACAGACAAACAGGCGTAACACTTCACTGTGTATCTTCGTTCACGCATTTAACGGTTGATTTAAATATTTCAGTTCCGCGAAATACTCGCCGCAGCGCTGGCATCGGATCACTTTGACGTTTCTATACATTCTATAGAACTTTTATGCAATATTGTTTGCGAGTTAGCGAGCCAGCTTGTTTTCCGCGATAAGCCAGGGAGATATCGTTACTGAGGTCCTATGTTTTGAGATACTATGTTTTCAAGAAAAACGTTTTCAAAGAGTTACGTCTGTTTGTCTGTGGTAGTAGGAAGATTAGACAACAGCAAATACCAATTAGCAATTTACCATTTTTTCCGGAATTTTTAAAATTTTCCCGGTAGTGCAATACACATTTGAATTAATCATAAAACCAAATGCGATTGAGTCGAAGAGATCACACTCTGAAAAATTCATGAAATTCATCCTTAGATTATAAACGAATTTTAAGGTTTTTCTAAGAATTCACAGAAGTTTCCTTGCATTTTTTGTAATTCGTAATTTGTGTAATTTGTAACCTTTTCTCAAAATTTTGCTCAGAATTCAACCTCTGGTCGCTTTCTGCCGCCACAAGTTCAGTGTACCTGTGTCTATAGCGGCACTCGGCTTGTGCAGCAAGACCAACGTGATGTTGCCAGTTTAACCCGTTTTCTGTCCAAAGTGTCTGGATGCTTAAGCGATCGTAGGCAAATACCACTGACAATCTCATAATCGATTTCCTCTCCAAGTGACCCGAGGATCATCCAAATGACCCGTATTTTAGAGTTCCATTGTTTAATCATCGTGTGATATGTGACTCTTTCCGTCGTCATCGTCACCGGATTTGAATGGTTACAGCAATACCTCGATAAAAATGGTAACACAGGGGCTTGGTGGCCTTAGAGCAACGATTTTTGCTTTGCAGAAGATCATGGGTTTAATATGAGGCCCTATCATCAATTATAATAAACTTATACATTAATCTATATATGAGGGGATTAGAAGGAAAGGGCTGTAAGGGACTTTGATCGATTCTCTTCATCGACTTTCTCTTTTGATTGCCACAGCTTTATAAACAGATTTTGCGCTATTTCTGACACATAGTTTGATAAAGGATGTTCTCATCTAGCATCCAGAATGCCACAAGAATCAAGGAATGTGTTCGCAGCTGAAATATTAACAAAAGAGAAATTCGATGAAGAGAATCGATCAAAGTCACTTACACCCCTTTCCTTCTAACCCATATGAGGGGGTAACAAATTGTTTAATGAATTCCCATCTGACCCTTATAGACTCGGAAACTACTGAACCGATCGGCGTTTGTATGTTGTAAATTTGTATGCAGGGGTTTTTGGGGCCGGGAAAGGTTCTTATGATGGTTCGAGACCCCACCCCTTCCTCTGTAAGGGGGACTCCCATACAAATGAAACAGAAATTTCTGCACAACTCGAGAACTAATCAAGCCAATGGAACCAAATTTGGCATGTGGAGGTATAAGGAGATGGTCATAGGGGGTAGCCTCTTTAGATAAGAGGGGGACTACGTACAATATAGCATGTTTTTTTTTAAATCGGCGCATAAACTCAAGCTAATATTGAATCCCGAGTAAGGCCGGGCACACTCAGCTACACGAAACGAAAATCAATTATTTTATTCATGTGTTTCACTTATACATTTTTGCCAAAACATCAGCCTTATACCTTCCATAAGACGAACCGCATAGGTCATATAAGAATGCATAAAAGGTATGTGTAACCGCTTATACATTTCATTTGACACATGATCTTCATTAACTTTTTGCAAGGCGTCTGCTCATTAGTTGACTTATACATTTTATGAATAATCAGCAATAGAAATTTGCCAAAAGGTATAAGGATATTTCTATCCGTGTAGTAATAAATAAATAAAAATACAACCCTGCAATTCCTGCAAAACAAGCGAAGTTGAATGACATGCATAGTGGAAATGACCAGATCAGTGATGATCACTAGAAATCCTTTGAGGGAGAGATTAACGGAGAGAATGTTTTGCCAGAAGGCCAAAGATTTTTTTAATTCTTACTCGAACAAACTTGAGAGTATTGCAATCGAATAGAAGTTCAGTGGGGGGCGACCCCGGCGTAGTGGTTAACATCCATACCTCTCACGCCCAAAGTCACGAGTTCAAATCTCACCCCCGGACAAGTCACAAATGACCCTAGAGTGTTAAAGTGACTATAAAAAAAAAGAAGTTCAGTCACCATTATTTTTTGTTTTGCTTTTCAAATTCAACTAGTTTTTCGAATTTAACATAATATCTCCATCTAACACTATTGATCTGTATTGGTTAATAAATTGCACAAAGAAAAGTGCAAAACATAGCAATACACTAAATTATTATTTTGCAGCGAATCTAAATGAAAAGTCATGTGAAACGCTACCTTCTGGCAAGTGTTGCAGAATATTTGATCTACGAAACTCCGCTCACGAATTCAATTTTGTTTTCTCCGTCCATCCCTCCCTCTCTAATGATCACCGTTGAAGTGGACATCAGTTGCTTTTTATTTCTTTCTTCAACTTGATGGATGCTCATTGGCATAGTTTCGACAAGCACATTGATAGAATGTACCAAGCGTTATTTCCATCAGTTGTTTAACTCTGGTCTTATCTCTCAATCTCCTGATGTTCTTATACATCAGCGAGTAAGACGGCAAACAGTTCCATTTAAATTTAAAAGTCCGAGGAAATGAAATAGAAAGCTATTTTTATATTTCCCAAACTGTTCCCCTGTACATGGCTAAATACACGCTTAAATCACGTGTTAAAGGCGTTAATGAGTTCAATATATTTAATCGCGATTTACTCCTTAAATATACTGCCTATAATCCCATATCAGTCCTATATGGAACATATTCCATATTTATATTTAAAACAATCATAGTAAATTAATCGTTAATTTCGTCAAGTTAAAATCAGTTGCAATGCAGCATGTATGATTTGTTAAATCAGTGAAAAATATAACGATTCAAAAAGCATAACTGTAACTTGACCTCTGAACGATTTAATTTCAGGATGGGACTGATATGCGATTATTTTGCTTGATGGGACACAAACTGACTTGATGTTGTTTACACATTTTTCATCATTAAAGTTCGTAGTTTTGTCACGTAATATAAAATTAGATGACAATTGATAGTGGATAGCGTTGTGACTCAAAATCGGCGAAAATCCATATGGGACTGTAATGCGATTATAGACAGTATAGCATAGAGTTTTTAAAGGTAGTATTTTAAATCGCATTTTTCTCCATAAATAGAGCAAAGGATACATTCAAAATATACAAATACACTTTTTGTTCTTTTTAGCTTTTAGCAAACACAAAAGCGATCACACACAAACCACACACTCGAAACAAACCATAACAAAAGAGGAGCTGGAGAGAGGGGCTGCTGCGTCAATCTGAACCGATGAACGCTAGAAGAGTTGGTAGATGGTGATTGTTTCTTCTTCTTCTTCTTCTTCAAACAGTCACATAAAACCACAGCAACTGTGGTAATGAAATTCCTAATACACAAACTATTCTACTCAAACTGCAAAACTTGGTGATCATTTAGACGAAAAATGCGTGTAGTATTAACAAAACAAAAAAAGATTCTACAATCAGTAAACAGTATGAACAATGGTAAAGAGACAGCAAATAAGACAGTATCGAAAAAAGCGGTGATGGAAATGAGCCGAAGAAAGTATAGGAAACCAAGAGCTAAAAGGTGTAGAAAACAAAAAAAAATACTGAAGCTAGCCTGAGTTTAATTATTTTTTTTTAGCATTTGTTTTTCCTTTTGTTTTGGTTGTTCTCGATTTAATATTCAAATTTTTAGGTTTTTTTTGTGAGACGTACCGAAGAGGTAAACCATCTGCTGACCCTTTGCGTCCAACTCCCTCCACCTCCACTGTTATCGTTGTCTGATTTAGTGGAATCATTTATAGTTTGCTCATCATCGCTACCCTAGAAATGGATCCGTTGTCCGGGAAAGAGGGATAAGAGAGAGAGAAAACAGAGAGAATCAGAAGGAAGCACAATCCGGAAGGTGTTTGGTTTGATTTTTCGATCTGCCTAGCATCATCGTGTGTTGTTTCTATTTCTAGAATCACAATTTTTTTTTTCTATGGGGGCAAAATTTTCAAGGAGCAGTTTCACTAGTGCCCTAGATCATCTCGTATCCTTTTTGACGAATATCACAAAACAGAAGAAACAAACAGTTAGGAGGAGGAAGTCTCACAGGGCTGGTGGTGGTTAGCGCTTTTGTTGCAGCTGATTCGAACGGATGAGTGAGTGTAGGTAAACACGAAAACGGAACAAAGTCTAACTCTAAACTTGCTGCTAGGAAGCACTGTGTTAGAACAAGAAACTTCAATACAAAACGGGAAACGAAAGCAAATAACTAATAGGTGACACAAGAAAGCAAGCCAAAGCGATATTTACCTCCTGGACGTCCATGGGTTCGCCTGTCTTGGGTGGTTCTTCTCCCTGGGGCGAGTTGGACTGTGCCGCTTGTTCACCATTGGCAGTAGCAGGAGGCGTGACGGGTTCTTCGTTTTCACGTTTCTCAACCATGGTAGCACTCGAGACCAGCACGATACCGTTCTGATTGATGCGAACCTTAATCTTCACCTCCTGGGGATCGCCGTTAGCATTCGGTTTAATATCCTTGACGTGGAACGCCCCGATGAACGGATCCGGATAGGGGACGCTGTTCGGTTCGTAGTGAACGTTGATGGTCAACGGTTCACGGCGGTGAACGGTCAATAATCGCGAGAATGGGGCCGTATGGTATTGCTCGAACACCTTCATCTCGTTACGTTGAGTTCCATCTTCCCATGAGATCAGCACCGGATAGGCCTGCACGTCGCTGCAGCTGAACTCGCGCACGCGCACCGCCGGCGACAGGATGGCGCACTGCAGGGCCGCACCACGCGATACGGCCTCGTCCTGGTTCAGCGTTGTGCTCGCCGTCTTGCCGAAGATCTGCTCGATCAGTTGCTTGATGGCCGGAACGCGGCTGCTGCCACCGACAATCTCGACGGAATGTATATCATCCAGGGCCAGGTTGGAATCCTTCAGGAGTTTCTTCATCGTGACCTCGATGCGCTGCAGCAAACCAGCACACAAGGCTTCCATTTCGGGCCGTTGCATCGTCGAGTGAACGTCGGTGTCGTTCATGAAGCACTCGATGTTCAGCGGCAGCTTGGTACTGTTGGCCGACATCTGCTTTTTCAGCTTCTCCACCTCGGTCAGCAGACGAAGGTAGGCCCTGCCGGAGAGAAAAGGAAATGGACGGGGAGATTAGATCAGAATCATTTTTTTGTATATTCGTTTATTATTTTTATTTTTTTCATATCCGGGATCTCGATTCATAATATTTTAAGTATTTCATTAATGTCTTAAGTTTAGAATGTTGCTAATTGATTGATTGATTTCTTTATTATAGAGACTTTCAGCCGTTGGCTGGTTTGTCTCTGAAAAGATAGTGTGGGGTCCAGAAGGGACCTCATCTAGTTACAAAGTTATTTTTTTTTCCTTTTTTATCATGTTAGGAGGTCTATAAGAGGCCTCCTCTAGTTAAATACTGAGGCTGTTAATGTGCTGTCTTTCTTCGGAGTTTTGATTGTTGAGTTGCTGCTTTGGTTTGAGATGTTGGGTGATAAGAGAAAGTCCTTTCCGCGGAGGAAGCCCATTAATGCTGTGATTCTAGTCGGGTCGTTACTCAGTGCGTCCTTAATGCTGCCCGGTATGCCGTACATCTCTCGTGAGCCTTCGTATTGAGTACAGTGGCAGATAATGTGTTCCACTGAACAGTTGGTGCGGCAAAGCTCGCAAAATTTCCGGAACGGGCCGCTCCCTGAAAAGTTATGCGAGACTCTGGTATGGCCTGTTCTAAGTCTTGCCAGGACAACCTGAGTTCGGTGGTCAGGGGGGTCTTCCCATTTTCGTGTGTCAGCCTTCACTTTTCTAAGGAAAATGCTTGTTGATTGGGACCATGTATTTGACCATAAGTCCCAGATTTTGTTGGCAACCCCGATGGAACCTCCTTGGTGAACAGTTGGGCTTGTCTTCCAGAATCCGCTAGATGATCCGCCTCCGTATTACCACGAATGTCGCAGTGACCCGGAATCCATACAAATGTAGTGTTTCTGGGGGCATATCGCTGAATAGCTTGGATCCATGAGTGCTTAATAGAGTCTGAGTTGAGGGCTAAAACTACACTTGCGGAGTCCGTAAATACGGCAATCGGCTTGTTCGAGGGAGTGGTAGCAGCAATAAAAGCAGAGACCGCTTTTGCCGAGAATATTGTGTACTGGTCTGGAAGTCGATGAAGTACGGACATTTGGGGGCCCGTGATGCCGATGCCAACCCCTTCACGGGAAACCGATCCATCGGAGTAACGGATAGTGTGGTTGCAGTATCTGGTTCTCTGGAGTTCCGCGACGGAACTCACGAGTGCCGTAGAGTTGGATCCTGCCTTGAACTTTTTCTTTATCGCCAAGTCGATAATGGGCCTGGGCAGGTTCCAATTTCTGGTTCCACACCAATGTATGCTAGACACCGTGGGGAGCTCCAGATTGGCGATGGCTGAAAGGAGTTGTTTGGCCTCGGTAAGGAGGAAAACTTCTTCATCTGAGCCATCTCAGAAGCTAATTGATCGGTTGCAGATGGTTTGAGTAACTAGAAGGTTGAATGGTAGTACTCCAAGCTGCAAATTTTTCGCCGCGATGAAGGCTCGCTCACCAGCAAACCACTTGCTGGTGGTACTAAAGCAGTAACGGATGACAATGTCTTTACCGAGGTCCTTACTGTCCCTGAACCCACCGAGCTGTTTTGGCTGTACCTTTCTTGTATACATCCTAGCGTGAAATCGGAATCAATCGAGAAGCTGGTCAAAGGTTGTGTACAGTGCGATGATCCGATGAAGGTTGTGCCGCTTGTTAAAAAAGGATCCGACATCATCCGTATGAGTTTCATATCGTACAAAGTCGGATTAGCTCCCAAACTACCTGCAGTTGCTCTTACATTGGATACATCGACCGAAAGGAATTTTGTTCCGTGAATTTGAAGACGGTTCAAAAACATGTGGATGTCTCGTTTGAACACGCCTGCTATCACGATCTCTCCTGTTCCGGGACCTTCTGAGTTCTCAACACCCATCTCCGGACTAGACCCAGTATGATGATCCAGAATTGGATGATGCGTTGTGAATTGGAACACTGTAAAACCAGAACGCACTGCCTGTCGCATTATGGGAGACCTCGAACCACTCGATCCAGTCGCGCTAGCTGTTTCCCGCCATCAGCGTCGTTCTGGACCTGCGGTCGAGTTCAGTGGTGAGGTCTCCCAACCATCGTCTTCAGGCAAGTATATTCTCACCAGAACTCTCTTAAAATTATCACCAAAACTCTCTTAAAACTCTCTTAGAATTCTCACCAGAACTCTCTTAGAATTCTGACCAGAACTCTCTAGAGTACTAAAAAAAACTTTCTTAGAATTCTCCCTAGAACTCTCTTATAATTCTCACCAGAACTCTCTTAGAACGCTCTTAAAATTCTCACTAGAAATCTCTTAAAATTCTCACCAGAACTCTCTTAAAATTCTCACCAGAACTCTCTTAGAATTCTGACCAAAACTCTCTTAGAATTCTGACCAGAACTTCCTTGGAATTCTCACCAGAACTCTTTTAGCATGCTCATTAGAACTCTCTTAGAATTCTCACCAGAACTCTCTTAGAATTCTCACCAGAATTCTCTTAAAATTCTCACCAGAACTCTCTTAAAATTCTCACCATAACTCTCTTAGAATTCTCACCAGAACTCTCTTAAAATTCTGAACAAAACTCTCTAGAATTCTCACCAGAACTTTCTTAGAATTCTCCCTAGAACTCTCTTATAATTCTCACCAGAACTCTCTTAGAATTCTGACCAAAACTCTCTTAGAATTCTGACCAGAACTTCCTTGGAATTCTTACCAGAACTCTTTTAGCATGCTTATTAGAACTCTCTTAGAATTCTCACCAGAACTCTCTTAGAATTCTCCCTATAACTCTTTTATAATTCTCACCAGAATTTTCTTAGTACCCTTTTATAATTCTCACCAGAACTCTCTTAAAATTCTCACCAGAACTCTCTTAGAATTCTGACCAGAACTCTCTTAGAATTTTCCCTAGAACTCTCTTCAGGCAAGTATGCATACATAAGTTACAGTAATTTTCTTGATCAGCTTTCGTGTTCCAGTGCAACGCCTCAAGTATCTGCCGGCTGTTTCCAGGCACTCCTGATACTGCTCATTAACAACATCCGCTTTACTGTTCGAACAATCCTAATTCATCTCCGGGACCACTATTTGGAAGCTCCTGATTCCTCCAGCCCAGTCGTGCCTATTCCTGCCAGCGTTCAGCATAGTCGTCCTGGCCCTGTGGCTGGAAATGAATGAGGAGTCTTCCACCTTGCCTCTACAGGCAAGTACAATCAATATATTGACTATTCATCATCTTGTTATTCATTGTGATGATGCCTCTGTAACTTTTAATCCTGGGAACCCGGAACGCACCGTAGAAAGCCCCATGTAAGCCCCCAATCCCTCCGTCTCAGTCCTGCTATCAGTAGCCTTCGATCTGTCGTTCCGGACCTGCTGTCGGATGTGGAGAGGGGCGAGCATCCAATCAGACTTGATGATGGTCAGTTATTGCCTGATGTATCTGTGATTTCCAGGGAAAGCAATCGTTCGATTCCTTGCCACAAGCAGAACGTCGTGATCTGCTACCAAAACACCAGTGGAATGAATTCTGATGTTGAAGAGTACCGCCTAGCTGTGGAGCAGGTTTGGACAGCCATCAATCTGGGTGATCGCACACTATTTCTACGCGCTCTGTACATTCCACCTGATCGAGTCCGGGACATGAACTCATCGATACTCACTGGCGGTCAGTTTTCACAGTTATCGAAAGTGCCACTCCAGTTGATGAGGTATTCATTTTTGGTGACTTCAATCTGCCAGGCGTTTCGTGGAGTCCATCTCATAGCGGATTCCTGTATCCAGATCCTGATAGCTCTACATTTCACGCAGGAGCTATTAACCTTCTCGACAACTACAGCGCAGTAACGCTTTCTCAAATTAACCATGTTGTTAACGAAAATGATCGTAGTTTGGTCCTCTGCTTCGTGAGCACACAGGACAGGGCTCCATCAGCTCCTTGTGCACTAACTTAGCGAGTTCCACATCACCCTCCTCTAATTGTCACTGTTGAGGACAAACTCGTGCGTGATTTCGACGACTATCCTGCTACGGTTTCTCATGACTTCCGTAAAGCTGACCACCGTAGCATCATAGATGTATTGTCTAGCATGGTATGGGAGAACATCCTTGATCCAGATGACGTTGAGGCTGCAGCGCAAACCTTTTCGCATGTCTTGGCATATGACATTGACAGACACGTCCCGAAAAGAACTCACCACAAAGTGTCTCACTCACACAGATCAGCTATGGCAGATTATGCACGAGTACGGATTTCCGGATAAACTGACGCGATTGGTCAAGGCGACGATGGATCGAGTCCCTTTGAATCTCGAAGGGGGTTACGGCAAGGTGATGGACTTTCGTGTCTGCTATTCAACATCGCGTTAGAAGGTGTGATCAGAAGAGCTGGAATAGATACGAGTGGCACGATCTTCAGGAAATCCATCCAGCTTCTTGGCTTCGCCGATGACATTGACATCATAACGGAAACGTACGTCAGACTGAAGGCTGAAGCTAGGCGGATTGGTCTTGCCATCAACACATCAAAGACAAAATACATGAAAGGAAGAGGTTCTAGGGAAGACAATGTTAGCCTCCCACCCCGAATTCAGATTGACGGTTACGAAATCAAGGTGGTCGATGAGTTCGTGTATTTGGGCTCACTGGTGACCGCCGAAAATGATACCAGCAGAGAAATTCAAAGACGCATTATGGTAGGGAATCTTGCCTACTTTGGACACCGGAGGACGCTTCGGTGGAATGAAATTCGCCGCCGCACGAAGTTGACTCTACAAGACGCTGATTAGACCGGTGGTCCTCTACGGCCACGAGACCTGGACTATGTTCGTGGAGGACCAACGCGCCCTTGGTGTTTTCGAACGGAAGTTGTTGCGTACCATCTACGGTGGAGTGCAGATGGATGACGGAACGTGGAGGAGGCGAATGAACCACGCATTGCACCAGCTGCTGGGAGAACCATCCATCGTCCACATTGCAAAAATTGGGCGACTACGGTGGGCTGGGCACGTCGTAAGAATGCCGCACGACGACCCAGTGAAAATGGTTCTAGAAAGCGACCCAACAGGAACAAGAAGAAGAGGCGCGCAGCGGGCAAGGTGGATCGACCAAGTAGAAGGCGACCTGCGGACCCTTCGCAGACTACGAGGTTGGCGAAGTGTGGCCATGGATCGAGTAGAGGCTTTAGACTTATTTAGTAAGGTAAGTACAAAGTGTCTAACCCTCCCAGGCAGACGAGAGAGCTACGTAGGTTGAAGTCAATCAAGAGAGCAGCATTGAGAAGATTTACGAAGTATCGCACGCTTCTTCTGAAACTACATTATGTGAGGCTGAATGCTCAGTCGTGAATGCTTTTCAAGTTTCCAACGTGGCATCCAGCGCAAACTTAAGCTACACCCGAAATTCTTTTGGAACTACGTGAATGAGCAACGCAGGGGATCCGGCCTCCCATCGTCTATGGAATTCAACGGAGAAGTTGTTGCCACCGTTCAGGATATATGCCGCCTTTTTTCCGAACGCTCCAGTAAATTATCAAACGCTGGGTGCAATTGTTGTCAATGCTGAGATGATTTCTAAGGCCGCAACTCTGCTCAAGTCATCCTTCAAATCCTGGGACCTGAGGAGTTCCATCTGTATTTTTCAACAGACATATTGCTAGCTTGTCAATTCCGCTTCATCGCCTGTTCCGAATGTCTCTCTCCAGTGGCATATTTCCATCTTCACAAAAAAAATAAGGAAACGAGCTGTGGATAATTATCGAGGAATTACATCGTTAAGTGCCGTTTCGAAGCTATTCGAGCTAGTGATTATGGAACCGTTGCTGTCCCATTGCAAGCAGTATTAGATTGCAGATCAACAAGGGTTTACTGTCGGCCGCTCTACAACCACCAATCTGCTGTGCCTCACATCGTATATAACCGAAAGCATGTCGGATCGGGTTCAAACGGACGTTATTTATTCAGACCTATCCGCAGCATTCGACAAGTTGAACCATGCTACTGCGATTGCTAAACTCGGCAGGCTCGGTGTATGCGGTAATCTTCTGAGTTGGTTTCGATCATATCTTACCGGTCGCCAACTAAAGGTTCCCATAGGAGATTGCAGATCAGCTAGCTTCTTCGCCACATCAGGTATACCTCAGGGAAGTCACTGTACTTCAACGACGTACATCTGGTCATCGAAGCTCCTCGGTTATCATATGCAGATGACCTCAAAATCTTCCTACGAATCTGTTCCATTGCTGACTGTCACTTTCTTCAACGTCGGCTGAATGTATTCGCTAGTTGGTGCTGGTTAAACAGAATGGTAGTGAACCCAGCCAAATGCTCCGCTATTACGTTCTCACGAAAACAACAATCGATAATATTTAGCTATGACCTGCTTGGCTCGACAATCGAACGCGCGAATCAGGTGAAAGACTTGGGTGTGATCTTGGATTCGCAGCTTTCATTCAAGCAACACATTGCATATGTTGTCGATAAGGCGTCAAGAACTTTGGGGTTCATTTTTAGGATAGCTAAAAGCTTCACTGATATCTACTGTCTAAAATCTATCTATTGTTCGCTTGTTCGATCGACGCTTGAGTATTGTTCAGCGGTTTGGGACCCAAACTACAACAACGGTGCCGAGATAATTGAAACTGTTCAACATCGCTTTCTTCGTTTTGCGTTGCGTAGATTGCCTTGGAATGATCCGTTTCGATTACCCAGTTTGTTACAGTTACGTTAGTAAGTAGCATGAGCAAACCACATAATAGGTAATTATCAGTTACCGTGTAGCCAAGATAAACAAATAGAACGCAGCCAGTAGCACATTTGCAAGAAAATGCAAGAAAGGGAGATTCGCTGCCTGTCGCTGCCGTCCTGTTGACAGTTCCGAACGATTTCCGCTTGGCGAAGACTGACATAGCATGGGCAAGGCATCATTTCAGTTTGGTTCGTCGCAGTCAAACGTGGTGTTTGATTCTCCGGCACTCCATCCACGTAAAAAGTGACGGCACGTGGGCGAATTTGGGAGCGAGATTGAAGGATCACCCGCCGCTGAAAGACCACTCCGATCAGTGAAGTGAACGGCGCGAGTGCAAGTCAAAGCATTTTGGGAAACCGTCGTCCTTGTCAGACCAACGCAGGACCAACAACAGCACCATCGGATACGTCACGTCCGTCGCTGACGGCGACGCAGGAAGAGGGTTTTTCTAACCAGCAGGAACAGCCGCCAAGTTACGCCCACAGCAACCGCCAGAGCAGGTGTTGATCAGCCGGATCCACTGAATTTCACCGAGAGACACGTGGCAACATCCGCCCACCAGTACGATCGGAAGATTGACCCGAGGAGGCAAAGCACATAGGTGTATCGAATCGACAGAGAAACTCGGCTACAAGCAGACAGCAAATATCCGGAGTTTGGAGGAAGTACGACAGACGATTAGTCGGCCAAAAGCAACCGGTCAAAAGCATCCGGAAAGAAGCCTTCACCGCGAAGGCTTCCTTTCTTCCACTGTAGCTTTGCCATTCTCCTGGACGTTGGTCACTGACAGAATCAAGACGAATACGGTGCCGGAGCGGCCATTGGTCCACCGATCACAGACGAGGGAATAGTTGCACACATCTCTCGTCGGCACTAGTGATCCGTCGAACACGGAGGAACAGGAGATCCGCTTCTCATAGCACATTGACTGGAGCGGTCCGCCGATCATGCATTAAGGTTAGGTGCGCCCAGGTCGCCCTCATGCGAGTGGAGAAGATGTCAAGGCTAAGTGGCCTACAGTGACGAAGCGACTTGATCGAGGCAATCTATATCCAAGCGAGTCAACGTGGAGTAAGCAACGGCGACAGGCAGCGGTATGAGTGAGTGCTCTAATGTTAAGGAATTGAAGATAGTTTTAAGCGCTTAGTAGGGTTATAGGCAATGCGCAGCATGTATGGGCGAATGATTAAATAGATATCATCATGCTATGGAAATTCGATGCCTAGTGCTTTATTTGGTTTTGGGAAGAGATTACAAGTTACGAAAGCCGTTGTCAACTTATCGACCTAGAACTTCTCCGCACTAGAAGAGACCCAAGCAGAGCCCTAGACGTGGCCGATATCCTGCAAGGAAGGACAGATTGCGAGGCTAATTGACCTGAATATTCAACCCCGACCGCTTCGTAATAACCTTATGCTAAGACTGCCTCTACGTCGCACAAATTATGGAGCATACGGTGCGATTTGCGGACTGCAGAGAATATTCAACAGTGTTGCATTTGTTTTCGACTTTCATCTCTCCCGTGATGCGCTTCGTCGAAAGTTTTCTTCTGTTTTTCGCCGGCAGGATTAACTGACTATAAGATATTTTTATGTTATGACCATGCTTGAATGTATTTTTTTACTATAGTTGATAAGGTTAACATCATTGACCAGCCTGTTGATGTAAATTAACAATAAACAATGAGAAAACCTACACTTGTGGCATGCTCAAAACGAACTGCTTGAGATAACTCAGTTTAACAATTGCAGTAAAATTTGCATAAAACTTACTGAAATAATTATTAAGTTTAGTTTGTCCCACACCCACTTTTCGGTCAACCCTCTCTACTTACCGCTTGTTCGTCCTGGGATCGATTTTGTACTTGGTCTGGAATTCGTTGCTGATGTGCTCCGCCATGGCATAGTCAAAGTCTCGTCCGCCGACCTGCTCGGCACAGCTGGCCAGCATCTTCAGCTTACCCTTGTGGAAGGCACAGGCCGACACTTGCAGCGACGCGTGGCCACAATCGACGAAGATCACATTGCGAGCCTTCTCCTCCGGTGCCGGAAGGTCCTGTTTGTAGAATCCGTAGCTTAGTGCGGTGGCGGTGGTTTCATTCATCAGCCGCAGCACGTTCATTCCACAGATGCCGGCGGCATCGAGCAGGGCCTGCCGCTCGGCATTGGTAAAGTACGACGGAACGGTGATGACGCAATCGTTGATCTGAGTCTTGAGCTCCTTGAACGAGTCGTCCTTTAGCTTGGTGAACAGCATTGCGGTGATCTGCTCCGGGCTGAAGACGACCTCCTCGTCCTGGTAGTTGACCCGTATGCCGATACCGCCGTCCGGCCGGGGCTCGACCTTGTAGGGTATCTTCCGCAGTTCGTTCTGTACGAGCGGATCGTTGTATTTGCGACCGAGCAACCGTTTGAAGCCGCCGATTGTGTTGTTCATGTTGGTCACCTGCTGGTTCTTGGCGGCCACACCGAGCACACGGTTTCGACCCGCGAATGCAACGCATGATCTATAAATAGAACGAGGGAAAAGAGAGGAAGAGAAAACACGTTAACAAGTGCTTTTAATAGTCGATGATGAAATTGTGTGTATCTGGAGGTTGGTTGGCAATAGGTAGGCGTATGTTTACTCCGCAGATGCGCGCTTTGGCTCGTCGGCGGATTAGGATGGGATGCGCGGTTGCCGAGTGGTTCTTAAAATATACAGGTGAATACGTCGAAATGAACGGAAAATCTCTTTCGCTTGAGATTGTCGGAGGGGCAATTTTCCAGATTGCTGCTGTACCTACATCAGTGCATCGTGTAGTAATAAATCACCAGAGACGTAGTAAGGGTATGCACATTTCAGCAGCTGTTGGTTCTCGAAGCGTGTAGGATGGATGATGCACAACAGCAATCATCTAACCGCCCCCCAAATCTCATGTCTAACGGTTTGGTAGTGGTTCGAGCTGTAACACGGTCGCTTTATAACCAGCATACAAACAGCCTCAGCTCAATACCATAAAAGTCGATGAATTTAAATTCTACGACCAGTTACAAACAGAACGATGTGTGTGCGGTATGGAAGACAAGTATGAACATCCCGAATAAAAAATGTACCATAGAAATATAAAAAAAAAAAACAATTCATAGTTGTGCGCCATCATGTTTACGGTAAATGGGACTCAATAAGACTATTGAGATCTATTAGTCTAAATTAGTTAAATTTTAATTCAATAGTAAAGTTAATGATTGTTTTGACCCGGGTAGTCATCGATTCAGTTGGTTGCCATATGTTCAACACCTGATCAAAACACGATTAATGAAATTAGCAGCTACGATTCGTTTGCTATCTATCCAATTAGATCTCGGAACGGAACCGACAGCCATCACGTGGTTCTATTTCTCTAGAATTCTCCGAAGAACGTTACCATTCAATCAACCGGAAAATTTTCCAAAACCCATTTGAATTGAATCGAGCGATAAAGAGTTGACACAGACACCCCCTTCCCCTCACCATTCATCCATCCGAAATTCGGTCACCAAAATAAACGAATCGACTTTGAGCTTGCATGCGGTGACCACCACCAGCCCAGACTGGTGAGACACGGATGACTAACCCCCATCATTGACACCCTGTCGCTTGCGGGTTTCAGTCAGTCTCCGCGGCAAACAACGACAACCGATCACTGCCCGAGCAAAGTCGGTTAACAAAATGAAAGCAAATCGATATTAAAGTGCGATAATGAAAACTTAATTTGATTTGAAATGTTGCGACATAAGTCTGATATCATATTGCGTTTTCATTATGCAGTCAAGACTTTTTAAATGAAAGCAACTTAACATGAAGTTCTGCTGTTTACGTCTTGTTTAAAATTTAATTGTTTATTTGATTTGTTTAAAACATTTTAGGTCATTCGCGACTTGCCCGGGGTGAGATTGGAGCCCAAGTCTTTCAGCTTGAGAAACATAAATGGTAACCATTTACTCCAGGCCCGTATTCAGTTAAACATTATGAATGCAAAATCAGTAATCAAATTGATTTCATTGAAAGCAGGATTAGTTTTCCGTTTGCTTCAAATTTTGCTCTCAGTTTTGCTGTGTTAACCGTTAAGCCAACCAACAGCATATTTTGATTTCAATTTGATCTTCAGCTTTGCTCGGGTGCGCTCTTGAGATTTTCAGTTCACGGGTGATTTTCTCCGTGAGAGCTGCGGTACACTCTGCTTGCTCGGGCAGTGTTATAAATATGGCAAAAGGGTCATCGCCGTAAAGAGCGCTGCGACGCTGCGGGTAAACTCGAGAAGGATTTATAGATTTGTCCATTTTGGACTCTTGTCGTCGGTACTTGGTAAGACGAAAATCGACAGCCATTAATTTTAATATTTCACACCCACCACGGTGTTTCTTTTGCCCGGAGGGAAGCACACCTGATTGAGCTGGATATTAAATTAAAAAAACGGACTGACACAGACAAAGGGTAACGATCTTTTCTTTTTTTTTTTTTGGAGCTGAGTAATTGCGACGAGATTGGCTGTACAGGCGGTGTCGTCGTCGGTTTCTTTGCCATTTCCAGTAGCCATGAGATTATAAATTTATTGGAGCTATGCAGTCGATGCCGTTTTTGGATGAGACGCGGTTTATTGCTGTTTTGATTTATTGCAGCAGTGATGCAATTGAGCAAGGTAAACAATCATCGTGTTAATTTTCAGCGCCTTACCAAAACTAAAACCGATTCAAAGCATTCGTTCGTTCGAATAATGATTGAGGACAATAAGCATTCGAACAGAATAAACGGTCAGAGAGTGTCACCTGTGACTAAATCGCAGCACTTAGCGTCACGCAGAAGTGCGCACAGCTTAACGGTTGTCGATTGCCATATAATACCTACTTCTCCCAAGGTCGGTTGGTCCGGTATCCAACTTTCTTCAGCGATACTCTGACGGTGACGACCGACCTTATAAGGGCATACCGAAGAGACACAACAATACCGACACGACGCCAGTCAGCTCATTGTAGGCCAAGATCTTTTCCATCCATCTTCCGCAGGAAAAGCTCTATTTTGCAGTCTCAGTACTATGCGGGTAAAATTCTTCCATTGACAAACGCTTGCAACGAACATTGCAGGCAGCAGCAGCAGCACCAGCAGTCAAACGGTATCGATCCGTACACGGTTCTGCTGCAATGCACACGCGTATGCTCATTTCATAACTGTTTGCTTTTTGCTTCGTCGTGAACAACCGAGTGCATACGTACATATAGGAGATAACTTCAACACGAGCTGGACGAACATATGTTCCGTTCCTGCTCTTCTACCATGATTACTGTTTATGCATTATGTCATTGGACTGGGTCGCTTCGGCGTTGTCAAACTTCCTAAAACGGGAAAAGTCAACTATAGTCGCAGTAGGTAGGTGGTATGTAGTCACGGAGGAACGAAATTCCCCGATGGTTGATTGAAATATCAAACTCCCGTCTATTAGCTCGTCGGAAGCAGTGCCATAGGGTGGAATTAATATTTCCTGCAATTTCGTTGGGTGACGAAGTTTAGCTTCACTGGTGCAGTGGCGCACAACCCTATCCCCCCTAGGCCTATGCAAATGCGTTAGCTCAATTTTTCTGTTCGGTTTTGTCGCACGATGGGTCGAACGAGCACAAGGTGAGGGGCAACTAAGTGGGGAAAAAAATCTGTCTTCTAGCCACAAATGGCAAGGCAAAAACTGCGATTAGACGTTCGAGTTGGATAACACAGTATGGTCGACAGTAGGAGCCGGTTTTGGATGGATGAAAAATATTGGTCTTTGGTGGTTATGATTAATGGATGGAAATCTATAGATAGGGTAGAGAGCTACTTCGTGGTAATCACCCATTTCCGTTCTGCCGAGCAGAAGGGGTTTCTGTGATAAAATGCTTTATTTAGAGATTAGTTTCCTATCTAAAGTATATTTAGTTTAGAGTGAGTACTTCCATCACGACCACCTGACTCCGTCCCAACGGACACTGTCATGATAAATGCTATTCCCAAATGCCACAACCGAACACACAACCATAATGGAAGCATTCACCCTTTTTTCTACATAAATCCATCTTCCTTGCAGAGTATTGGCGAAGGTTAAGGCTCTGAATACATCTCTTCGGATACGTAAGGGCTCGACATTGATCAATTGGCAGCGATTCTCGTAGCTTCAGGGCTGGTAGCGATCAATGCTGTCAAAAATAGTGATTTAAGTGACCTCGTTGAAGAAATAAGTGACCAAATAGTGACTTATTGTTGTAAAAAAATGGCTTAATGGAAGAAAATAAGTCGTTCTGATGGCATACCAAATAAATGTTTGATGTTTTAGACTTATTCAATTAGATTGTCATAAACACTTAAATATGTACGATAGGAACCTTTAAAGCTAAAGATTCAGTAGAAAGTTTATGACTAAACCTCCAAGCTTCTTCTACCTGAAAAAAAACATGAAAAACCGGAATTTCGCAAGGAATTTTATTTTTCTGAAAATACCTGGAAGTAGCGGGTAATCTTATCATTTCTCAGGAAATTTAACAATTTTCTTACTATGAATGCATTAAAAAAAAAACATTTAATATTATAAAGAGAGAGAGAAAGATTAGTAATTTCCATTTAATTCCACTGCCTTATTTGCTTATCCTTGACAGATACGCGTATTTCGTCTATCGTCAGACTTCTTCAGTGTCTTGTACAAATACTAGTACAAGACACTGAAGAAGTCTGCACATTGTAGACGAAATACGCGTATCTGTCAAGGATAAGCAAAAAAGGTAGTGGAATTAAATGGAAATTACTAATCTTTCTCTCTCTCTCTTTATACAGGTATTCCACTAAGACGTCCACATTCATCAGGATTCATTTAATATTCCTAGTTATTTTTATTCACACATTGAACTTTATATATTCAGAATGGATTAATCTTCAGTAACAAGTACATTCCAGGCTCATTTGCTATAGCTTTGCGGAGCCAATATTCATTGATTAGATTACAAAATTACTTAAACCAACGTTAGTAAAGCGGGGGCCGATTACTCGCGGCTATCTCGAGGTTAGGGGTGACAAATTGTAACAAATGGATGGCAGGGAAGGGATTGTGAACACAAGGTTTGGAGAGCAATGTGCTCTTGATCTCGAACTAAGCGACACTCTGATGAAAAAGACAAACATGGGGGGTACACCGATGGGCAGCTAACTACTTGGGAGAACACAAGATGACACTAACTACTAAATCCTAAAATCTATCCGTTTTAAAAACACATAAATTAAATTCAAATAGTCGAGATCTCGGCTCGCCAAGACATCTCTAACGGGTATCGCGGGTTGTTTTCCTCGGGCCCTGAGGGATGTGGATAACTCAGATCTGACAACACGGTGTAAAGTACACGACCAAACAACATGCTCGATATCGTGATAACCACTGCCACACGCACATAAATTGCTGCCTGAGAGCCCAATTCGATAGAAGTGCGAGTCTAACGAGCAGTGATTGGACATAAGCCTTGATATAACGCGTAT